TTTTTTCAGAAAAAGTGCTTTATGACAGGGTGAAGTGAGTTGGCAAGTGGATCATGTCAACCGAGTATGCAGCGCGCATGGAGATCCTGCAGCGCAAGCGTGAGGAGCTGTGCGTATTCTCGTCGTATCGCATGTATCCAGCTGAAGATGACGAGGTTATTTGTTCTGTTGCCGCAGAACGGCGCAGCGTCAGGCGATCGAGAAGCGGATGACGCTGCGTGAGGCGACTGCGGCAGAGTTCAGCGCTGTGGCCCTCCAGAGCGCTAAGCAGAAGTGGAAAGCTCAGCGGAATGCTGCGATCACCGCCAAGAAGCGCAACGACGAGTTCATACGCTCGATACACGAGGCGCAGAAGCAAGTGCACGATACCTGGAGCAGACTTCACAGCGACCAGTCAAGCAGCAGTGCGCTGTTGGCTCAGGAGAAAGCGAGATACAACCGACGAGTGGAGCAGATCTACCCTGCCTGGCAGGAGCAATTGCAGCGACAACGCGTGCAGAAGCTGAAGGAGCTGGAGGACAAGAAGAGGGCGGTGGAGAGACGTAGATATCTGGCCAAGAAGGTCGGGAGGCTGGCGCTGCTCCTGTATATTGGGTCGCTGATGGTGGTGTGAGTGTTGTTGACGTGACAGAGCTTCGAGAAGGAGCAGACACTAGACGATTTGATTCGGAAGACGGTGCGTTGGAAGATATTGCATTATTGCTACAGCAACAGACGACAAACGTTGGATTGATTGCAGCGTCACGAGGTAGAAATGGCGGAGAATCTGGAGCAAAATGAGTTGTACGAGAGGGACCTTTTGCGCATGCAAAGCACAAACCAAGGTGAAGCTGGAATTTAATGTGTGTGTGGTATAGCAAAAGTCAGCTGATAATGAACTTGTGCTGCAGCCAAGGAGGTTAATCAGAGTATTCGCGAAGTGGCTTTAGAAGCGAGAAGTATTCTCCAGCAACAAGCGGCGAGGCACTTCGAAGCGAGGCCTGAGCTAGACGATGAACTTGCAGGTATGGGCTGACACAATGTTTAAGAAAAATTATGCTGCTAATATCAACTAACGTGATACAGACAAATTATCCGAAACGTTTTCGCCGCGAAATACTCTACGCGCCCTGCGAGAAGGCAACAGGTTTGCTCTTTGCTTCAGACTTAGAGCAGTATCTATCCACATCTCATCATAGCTCTACCGCTTTTTCCCTAGCTCACTTGTATTTGAGGATGACCAACCATACGAAGAAGAGAAGCCTGCACGGCAAATTCGAGTCGAAATTCCGGCGCGTATGAACACACCAACGCGTGCATACTATCATGAATTCAACCAAAAAGGGCCACAGATGGGATATCTGGGTGAAGAATACTTCGAAGACGATGTTGTCGATGAGATGCCACGCCAAATCAAAGCACCTTTCCACTCTATAACAAGCCAGGAATTCCCTGCCAGCTCATACGCTGGAAGCGACAACATAAATCTCAGCAACAGGAACCAGACTGCAGTCGCTGTACACAATAATCCATCTTGGGCTTCAGCTGCAAACGCGATCCCTGCAGGTGACCACACTATATCTCAGACGGCATCTTACCCAGAGATTTTGAGAATGAATCAACAAAGTCCAGCTCCACCCAGCACTCTTGATCGCAGTAACATACGTGAAGAAATAACCAGTCCACCGGGTTACAAGACGGAAGGTTTACCCATATTAGTAGCCGGGAAGCTATATCCCATTCCTGAGGCCAACGAGCCGATTTCTGCAAGTAGAACGATCTCAACGGTACCAGACAGAGTGGATATTCGACAGTCCGAGATCAATTACACTCATGAGCGTGATAGCCAGAGCTCTGTTGTGACGGATTCCTCGGCGCCTTTGAGTACTCCTCCAACCAAAATTACAGAAAATCGGGATGCTAGCTCTCCAGCTGCGCCCGTCACAGTTGTTACTCTTGCCAATGACTCTCTGCGTTCTCGTGCGGATATATATCGACCGATTGAGCGTCAAAAACCCGTCGTAGCTCCGGAGATCTTGATCCCAGAAGCCAAAAGCCAAAAACCTCCTGCGATTAGCATTCCAGAACCCAACGAGTCATCGCTGACAAACTCTTTCATCACCGAAAGAACTGCTGTGGGTCCGGTTAAAGTACATGGATCGAATGATGGGGTTCATAGTAAAACAGAAGCTGACGCTGCTCTACCAGGTCTAAAGCCTCCAGTGGATGAAGCCAGCGATGTTTCGGTGAACACAGACACTGTCAGTACCCTAATCCAACCCGACAATACGAGCACACCCGCTATCGCAGCTTCTGAAGAGCCGAATGAAACTGCAGCCGAAGAGAGCGACAGCAACAAGATCGTACCTCGCGTAACCATAGACGACCACGAGCGTGAACACAACAGTGCGTCCAAGGTGGATTCATTCCATGATGCGATACCCGTCGGCAGCACGATAAACCCGACCCTATTGGTGATGGAGACGACAGCTTTCAATACTGTTGAGGTCCCCACTGAGATACATGACACCCCCAACGAGAAGGCAGCAGCCAGAAAATCCGAAGCCCTACCACCGCCGATCTCGTACAGATTAGATTTGCTGGAGCCCTTTTCCACTGCCTCGACGCCACGCAATGCTCAACCCGCGGAAGATGATATTATCCTAACCAGTATGCAAAGTGAAGACTTTGAAGTACCCGCTAGCAGCATTGAGCCAACTGGAGAAACCAATCCAAGCGTGCCGAGCGTCAACGACACACCAGTTGAAAATAACGTCAGTACTGTGGTGGCCTCAGCTGAAGACCTCACAAATCCACCCGAGCCTTCAAACCCAGCTCCAGAAGAGGTATGTCAATCAACTCGTTTGATGATTGCAAACCATATTGACAATTTTGCCGCTGTATAGGTAAAAACTGCATCACTAACGGAAAAGCTGTCACCAGTGGACCGTGTGAAGGCGCTGGGAGCTTTGATCAGCCGGGTAGAGGAAGGCGCGACTGATGGAGACAAGCTGGGTGAAGCAACCGATGCTGAATCATCATACGAGTCAAAGCGCGAGCTACTGAAGTATGTAAATGATGCTCTGCTCACATTGATCAATCGTCTAACAAACCTTTGCTGTATGCCAGGATGGCAGTGGGAGGACGCAAAGCACAGATTGCATTTTACGGTTCCGATATCTGCTTCGAGCTCATTCTGGACATCTCACGGGACCTTGGACCAGGTAAGTGCAGTCCTGTGGCTAGACCACAACAAGAGTGCTTAGACTTATGGTGTTACAGTGCTCTTCCCATCGAAGGCGTTTGAAGGGATCATGAACGACCAAAAGATCCGCAAACTCCACCAGAGCAACAAGGAAAAATTGCTCGGTAAGAACCATTTTCCACGATTTCACCTTGGCAACACATACCAATCCTCAATATTCTGACAACTTTTCATCGTACAGACTTGTGGAAAGCACTGTCGGGCCATCTGAAGCAACTTGCGCAGTTGAAGGCGATCCCCATGGGTACCCTTGTTGAGCTGTTTGTGGCAGCGTTCCTCGCCCACGACCCTGACAACCAGCGATCGCAGCGAAAGGTAACGTCCGTCCCAATACCCAACCTTACAGCTCTAACAAGTCGCGTTGCAGCTCCGCGAATTCATGGTAACAGTGTGTGGAGGCGGTGATATCAAGACATCAATACCTCGTAAGGAATCCTTCGGCTCATCGAAGCCTCCGTTTTCGCAAAGGCACGAACAACGCACACCAAGCCCAGAACCTGTGAAACCTGCCGAATCTGAGGACAGGATCGGGACCCCGCAGTTGCTGCAGACGGCGTTCTTACAACGACAAAGCCCACCGAAACCAAAGGTGTTCGGAATCGCATCGTCCAGGTGTGTTTCACACTCTCCTTTTGCAACCAGATGGCTCTGCATCGCACTGAGTATCTTGTCGTGTGCAGCTTCAAAGACCGATCAAGTGGGTCTTCCGATGTGCTCATGTCCATGAGCTCCGGACCCATGAAGCTATCTCAAAAGGTGCGTTGATCTTGACTAGTTTTGCCAACGGAGTCAGCCAATCTCACTAAAAAAACCGTTGCAGTTGATGCGCGGCGGCAAGATGAACGATTACTCGGAGTTCGAAGAGGAAGAGGAGGTGGATCTGCAAAACCTCATCGGTTCAAAGTCCACGTTCACCTCCGGGTCCTCCGCGCTGAGCAGATCGCACCAAGCGTCCAAGACATCTCCAACCGGCTGGTCTGCTGGGAGATCCGCTGCCGCAGAAGAAGAGAGCGACGAATTCGACTTCTAGCCAACGCTATATTTTGCGCTGCATACTATTAGCCTGGCCCCTTTCAACTGTATCTGGCATTGCGACCACACGAGGCATGCGGAGCCCCGCTACGTTGCAGTCCACCTGATACCGGCGCAATGCATTCGTCGTGCAATTGCGCATGAAGGGACACGTTGCCACGCATCTGGCAACATGGGTACACCTGTATATTTTAATCTCCCTGGTGTATCACCTGCCTGTGGTCTCTTTCTAGAACCTGTCAGATTACATTTCTATCTTATCAACTGTATGCACCCTTTTTTACCTTGACATTTGTATCGAAGTTCAGAGGGGGGGATACGTGTCGCGCTCTCCTAAGTTTTGGGCGGTCAGCAGGATCCCGCTCATTCCCCAAAGAGTATCAACGAGTCAAGAAGCAGCTCGGAGTCACGATGCGCTTCCTGCACTTGATCCGGCCCGTCATGTGCGTGCTGCCCGAGGTGGCGCAGCCCGACCGCAAGATCCCGTTCCGTGAGAAAGTTCTGTGGACGATCATCACGCTCTTCATCTTCCTGGTGTGTTGCCAGATCCCGCTCTACGGCATCCAGACGTCCAAGTCGTCGGACCCGCTCTACTGGATGCGTGTGATCCTGGCTTCCAACCGCGGCACGCTCATGGAGCTGGGTATCAGTCCCATCGTGACCTCGGGTCTCGTCATGCAGCTGCTTGCCGGCTCCAAGATGATCGAAGTGGACCAGTCGCTCAAAGAGGACCGCGCGCTGTTCAGCGGTGCGCAGAAGCTCTTCGGTATCCTCATCACGCTCGGCGAGGCTGTTGCCTACGTGGTCTCTGGCATGTACGGCAACATCTCGGACATTGGCGCCTTCAACGCTATTCTCATCATCGTGCAGCTGCTCTGCGCCGGTGTGCTCGTCATCATCCTGGACGAGATGCTGCAGAAGGGCTACGGCCTTGGCTCAGGTATCTCGCTGTTCATCGCCACCAACATCTGTGAGAACATCGTGTGGAAGGCCTTCTCCCCCACGACTATCAACACTGGTCGCGGTACGGAGTTCGAGGGCGCCATCATCGCTCTGTTCCACCTACTGATCACCCGCTCGGACAAGCTGCGTGCACTCAAGGAGGCCTTCTACCGTCAGAACCTGCCGAACATCACGAACCTATTGGCTACCATGTTCGTCTTCGTCGTGGTCATCTACTTCCAGGGCTTCCGTGTGGACCTCCCGGTGAAGTACCAGAAGCTGCGTGGCCAGCAGGGCACGTACCCGATCAAGCTCTTCTACACGTCCAACATGCCCATCATCCTACAGACTGCTCTGGTGTCCAACCTGTACTTCATCTCGCAGCTGCTGTACAAGAAGTTCAGTGGCAACTTCCTCGTGCGTCTGCTCGGTGTGTGGCAGGACGTGGAGGGCAGTGCTGGCCAGACTGTGCCTGTAGGTGGCGCCGCGTACTACATGTCGGCCCCCAGCAACTTGGCTCAGATCATGTACGACCCCATCCGCTTCGTCATCTACGTCATCTTCATCCTCGGCTCGTGCGCGCTCTTCTCCAAGACGTGGATCGAGATCTCGGGCTCTTCGGCTCGTGACGTGGCCAAGCAGCTCCGTGACCAGCAGATGGTCATGAAGGGCCACCGTGACTCATCTATCGTGCACGTGCTGAACCGCTACATCCCCACGGCTGCTGCCTTCGGTGGTATGTGCATTGGCGCGCTGTCGATGGTGGCTGATCTTCTGGGCGCAATCGGTTCGGGTACCGGTATTCTGCTGGCTGTGACCATCATCTACCAGTACTTCGAGACGTTCGCACGGGAGCAGGCAGAAATGCCATTCAGCGGCCTCTTCGGCTTCTAAGCACGAGTGCTCGCTGCGATGCATCTTTATAGAGCAAACAGTACACACTGGCATACAATCGATGAACGAGAAGCAAAGGAGACGAGAGGACTGGACTGCCCAACAGGTTGTTCCCGTTCAAGGAGTACTATCAGGTGCTCTTTGCTGACTTCAATAGTAGAATTTGGTTAGGATCATCAGCAAAAGTTGAGCGAGCGAGGTGAGAGGCCCTTCCCCGCTGCTTAGTTCGGACATGAGCCATGCGGACGTCATCTCGATCGCTCTTAGGTGCGCGATGGGCAGTTGATCCTCTTGATTCTTTTGTGACGCGTTCAAGGTGTAGCTGGGTGTGCAGTGCGCTCGGATTCAGACCAGCTTTTCATAAAGCAATAAAATCTTTCAACAATTTTCTGTTTGTTCACTAGCATCACAATGCTCGGCGATTTGGATGAGCTGGAGGGCGACTGAACTGCCGTGACGTGCTTGACCTGGCGCCTGTGGACTCCTCTGACCCTGGACTGTAGTCGTGGAAGCTGGTGCTGTTCGTGAAGGAATGACTGGAGCCACCACCGTTCTGCACGAAACTACTTGAGCTGAAGCTGCTGGCGACATTTCTACCGTCGCGACTTTGGCTGAGTTGCTTCGCCTTCGCGCCTGCTTTCAACGTCTTGTACCACTTGTCGTACTTGGCAATGCGATCGTCCTGCTCCACAAACATCGATAAGTCAACGTCTTTGTAAATGAAATTGCAGCGAGTGTGCACCTTAATCTTCGCCTCTTCCATCAGCTTGGCGATCTGCTCCTCCTGCATCTTTAGTTTGTTTTCCAGCGCCGAATTTCCACTGATACCAAACGTGCGAAAATCAAAATCAGCAACGTAACCAGCTACAAAAAGCTCTTCTGGGATCACTTACCCCATTGCACTGCTTGGTTGCGGAGACGCTTGAACACCACTATTTCGCTGCCGTCGCCACTCTTCAAGAGCTCTTTTGATCATAACAAGCTGATAAATATGTACAACACTCGTTAGAACAAGTAATCCTAAACTGCCCGAACATGGGAGCACACCTTCTGGTTGTAATCCTTCTTGAACAGATCCATGGATTCACGAATCTCGCGGTTCTCAGCCTGTATGTTCGTCAACGCCTCACATTTCTAAAGCACATATCGAAGCACCCAGACGGTCAAACAACCTTCAAGTGAACACTAGTACAAAAAAACTGTTCAGCATACCTTCACCAGCTTGGTGTTCTCGCTGCTGAGCGTCTTCACGGCATTTAGTAGCCGTACGATCTCCATTTTCTGGTGCGCAACGGTCTCCTGCAAACCCTCATAATCCCCCTGGCCACTAACTGAACCATTGTCATTTCCAGCAGAACTGCGTCCATCTTGATACTGATAAGGACTCGAGTCATTGCCGTTCGTCGGTGTAGCACCTGATCTCCGTGGATCCAAAGGTGCTCGACCGCCAAGCTGTTGCTCCATTAGCCTGAGAATTGCACAAACTGTGTCATACAACAAGTACCACATTATACTCCTCACAATTCATCATACCGTTGTCTTTGATTCCTCATTCTGGACGCCACCGCAGCTCTAAGCGTCGATCCTCCATCCACTGCAGTCGCCACCACTCCAATCGTAGTCCTAGCACCACCAAATCCACATCCATTAGCGTCAAGCATCCCTAAAATTCTCTCCAACTCCACTACTCGCCTCGTTTTAGCCGGTAACAAACAAAACGAATCCCCCAACGACGACGACAAGTGTCGCGATGACATCAACAAATTCTGCACCATATTTTACCACGTCAGTCTTGTCTCCTTTTCTCCTCTGCATTTCAGCCTCCCACCTTATCGGCCGAGCCAGGACTCGATAGTCCGATCTCATTCAACCGTCTCCACAGTTCCTCCATCTCCGCCGCTGCAACATTCAATTGCGTCTCCGTCTTCTGCGCCTCCTCCGGGTCTGGAATCTCCGTTTCCACCTTCTGTTGGACTGTATTCCGCTCTCTAATGTCCGCATCATGGCGTTCCTCCGTCACCGTGAGCTTCTCCTCCGTCTCCGCTGGTCCGGGGTTTCTGGCACGCGCCACCTTGGCCCTGTACTCATAGTTTTCAGCCAATAGCATCAGTGCGTCGATTGTGCGCTTGTCGGAGACCCGCTGCGCTGCCTGAAGGAACTTTTCGCTGGCCAAATGGCCTTCCTTCTCTGCCTGGATGTACTGCACGCAAAAGCGAGGATATTGGACGTTATTTTGCTTTGAAACTTTGTGCGAATTGCAGAGGAGATACAGAGAAACACGTACGTCATCGCGGCGCAGCGCTTCTTCGGCGCGTACGGCGTGGAAATGCGCCTGCACGGCGGGTGCTGAACTCTCGTACTCTTCTGATTCCACGGCCTTCCACCCCATTGCGGAGATCTTGGTTTGAGTATTGAGCAAGAAGAAGCAAAGAAAAATAGATATGATTGGATGAAAATGAGAATTATCTGGGCTATGAACGGAAAATAATCTGTGACGTGTGAGAAAGGTAGCCATGTCCTAGCGATCCTACTGCAGTTGACACTCGGGACTGATACCAGCCTTGTCAAATACTAGTGCTACATCCTCTAGGCTGCCTACAAGCTTCAGCACCGGTGTGAGTAAATCCCCTCTTTGTAGCAATTCGATGACGCAGTGGTTGTCGGCTTCCCACTTAAAGCACACCTCTCCGCGGATGACAAGCTGCTGGTTCAGTAGCTTGGTCCACATATCGCGGTAATTGATCAGGTGTGGAAAGCAGCGACGCAAAGAGTGTTCAGTAATTGTGAACTTCGTTCTCGTGGTGGCGAGTAGCATACCCCGATATTTTTGCTCTAGACGCACAAGTCCCACTTCGATGTCTGGAAAGTACGAGGACGTGGCTCGCCAATGTTCAAGTAGCGCTTCAACACCAACCACGCCACCGCACACAATGTTTGGCGACGTGGTATCCCTGAGAAAGTCTTGCTGAACATACGATCCATTTTTATCTCCGTTGTAATTGTTGGTAAATTTATTCGACACGGACACTGCTGGCATGTATCCGTTGCGAAAAAGGCGAAAGTACTCCGCCGCAACGTTCCAGAGTGTGTTTGTCAGCGGCACTCCAGCAGCAATGAGTCGACGCTGTAACTCGAGCTCATCTACTCCTTCGTGGAGAGATCGGATATCTTCTTCCAGCTTAATAGCTTTGACATTTTGTCTCTTTCTGTATCGAGCTGTGTTCACTCGTCGTTGCTGTCGGCGGAGCTCGATTTTGGCTTCGGCCAACAGCTCCGAAATACTTTTGAGGTCCATCGTAGAGGTCGATTCTTGGCTGATACGGCTTGAGACGATAGGTGTGCGCGTCAGTGCTTTGAAGCAGGGCATGGAGATCGTCTGATTTTGACGGTCAGGGCTGGTCTTGTCCATGGCAAATGTCCTGTTGTACACTGGTCTTGTACGTTGCACCACACCGCCAATAACGCTGTCACCCAACCGATTGATATTCGGAGGGGACAGAGTGCTGTGAGTCATCTCAACGCCCTCAAGGACTCGAAAGAAGTTGTGAGATTCTTTCAGGCATGATCCTTAATTTTAAGCCGTGTTCGCTTGCCAGTCAGCGATTGATAATCAGGGAGCAATCACTACTCGTTCTGCACTCCGTGAGTCGCGGTACACCTGTGTAGTGTAAACGGGGAGTCATCGTAACGATACACTATTACAAGTACTTCCTCCGTCCGAAAATATAAGCGGGTCCCCAGCATTGGTACTGTCCGGTAATATAAGGGTTAAGTTCGGACATTATCTACTTTATCCTGTTCAATCGAACTTAAAAGTATCGTAGCCTTGTCGTAAATATTGTCGTTGCAGGTCAATGAAAGTGGAAGGAGACCGTTGTTCATGCGCAACTGCTCTTTTGATAGATGCGGAAGCTGATACTTATTACAGCCATCGACGTTCATGGACGCCTGTAGCACAGACTGTAGCGTGACAAACACTTTGTCAATAGTGCTATACTCAAGCTGGTTATAGGCTTCCTCGACGTTGTTGACCAGGTCTTCAATTGTTCTTGCCTTCTTCTTGTGCTGTAGCGATTGGATTGACGCGAAGAACCCGAGGTCGTTGACGTTGAAATCAGGAGAATTGGCTGGTTGTGGTTTAATGCTCATATCCCACCCACCATCACTACAAGCAGCAACCACTTCGGGATCGTCCGCAGCCACGTGTGGCTTAGCATTGTCATGCTGAAGAAACACGCGCTTGCCCGATGGCCAAACCACTTTGACGCTCGGTATGACCATCCGGCACAATGCGTGGCGGTACACGTCCTTGTCGACATTGTAGGTCTTTAGCTCCAGTGTGCCGGCCGGTCGGTTTTTACTTGATCGTTCGGCCGGCTCGTACACAACGAATGGCCATAAACCAATCTTGCCGTCCCAAATCCGGTGGCGCTTACTGTCCCACCGCGGGCGCGCAACAGCAACTAGGAACATGACCTTGACGATGTAGTTTTTGTTTTTGACAGTAAGATGGGGAGGTTCCTCGTGCGTTCCCAGATAGAATCGCTGGTTCTCCTTCTTCAGATAAAACCATTTTTCAATATCGCGGGAGGACCGCGGTTCGAACCGTCTTGTTGTGCTCTTCGTTTTTAACCAATACATAGGTCCCAACGCGCGATATTAAGATTAATAATATTTTTTTGGTATGGACCCGCTTATATTTTCGGACGGAGGAAGTAACAGTCTACCAAGTACACCAGGTACACACCATTCCAGCTTTAACCCTTCGCCAGCACCTCAAAATGACCAGCAGTGCTCCAATGAATACGCGTAAACGCAAGAATCTAACTCCGAGTGAACGGGCGGAAGTCATTGCCTTCCTACTGAAAGTCAGCATCGAACTAGAGCCTCCGATAGGTGCTATTGCGGCGTGCTCGACTAAATATGAGTGCAGTGACGACCAGATCGCCCGTCTGTGGCGCCGGGCCCTTCAAGACATCAAGAGCGGCAATGCCATTAACTACGACAGTGGCAGGAAGGGCAAGAGCGGCCGGAAGACGCGGTTAACGGAGGAGTTCCGCCACGACCTCAGCCACGCTATCGAACTTACGCCATTTGAGGAACGAACTGACATTCGCACTTTAGCGAGTTCCCTTGGTATTGCCAAGTCGAGTCTTCACGATTACTTTCTTGCTGGTGCATTTCGACGTCACACCACGCGGCTAAAGCCGTTATTGTCGGATCAACATCGGGCTGATCGACTCAAGTTCGCCTACGGATTTGTACATCGGGGTCCACGCAATACGCGAGTGTTCGACAGCTTCATGAACTACGTTCACTTAGATGAAAAATGGTTTTATCTGAAGAAGGAGAACCAGCGATTCTATCTGGGAACGCACGAGGAACCTCCCCATCTTACTGTCAAAAACAAAAACTACATCGTCAAGGTCATGTTCCTAGTTGCTGTTGCGCGCCCGCGGTGGGACAGTAAGCGCCACCGGATTTGGGACGGCAAGATTGGTTTATGGCCATTCGTTGTGTACGAGCCGGCCGAACGATCAAGTAAAAACCGACCGGCCGGCACACTGGAGCTAAAGACCTACAATGTCGACAAGGACGTGTACCGCCACGCATTGTGCCGGATGGTCATACCGAGCGTCAAAGTGGTTTGGCCATCGGGCAAGCGCGTGTTTCTTCAGCATGACAATGCTAAGCCACACGTGGCTGCGGACGATCCCGAAGTGGTTGCTGCTTGTAGTGATGGTGGGTGGGATATGAGCATTAAACCACAACCAGCCAATTCTCCTGATTTCAACGTCAACGACCTCGGGTTCTTCGCGTCAATCCAATCGCTACAGCACAAGAAGAAGGCAAGAACAATTGAAGACCTGGTCAACAACGTCGAGGAAGCCTATAACCAGCTTGAGTATAGCACTATTGACAAAGTGTTTGTCACGCTACAGTCTGTGCTACAGGCGTCCATGAACGTCGATGGCTGTAATAAGTATCAGCTTCCGCATCTATCAAAAGAGCAGTTGCGCATGAACAACGGTCTCCTTCCACCTTCATTGACCTGCAACGACAATATTTACGACAAGGCTACGATACTTTTAAGTTCGATTGAACAGGATAAAGTAGATAATGTCCGAACTTAACCCTTATATTACCGGAC